TGGGATTTGCATTTGTATTGTGGGATTTGCATTTGTGGTGAGCCTTCTGCGCCATCGTAATTACGGCTGGGCAAATGAATTCCACTCATTCCCCTCATAGTAAGGTGCAGCGGTGCCTTGAATGGAAAAGTACAGGGACAACTGACCTCGTAAATGTAACTGCCTTGCGGCTATATGAGCGAGAGGGGAACAAACGGGGAATGTATATAGTGTGTGGACAGGTAGCGTGGGGGGGGGGCAGTGGACCGTGACAGAGAACACAATGTCGCGGAGTGAGAAGGAGAGGGTGCGCGCGCGAAACAGTCGTTTACTGTTCAACGCATAGAACGATCAGCGTTGGGCGGTGTCCGTGGTGTAGGCACTGGCCATTCCGTGGCGCACACTGCTTAACGGGAAAACCCCACATGAGCATCGCGGGAGAAAACAGATACACGAATAGCCGCCGCTAAGGTTAAGGAGCCGTGGAGAGACCGGTGTCGCCGTCGCTGAGTTATTTCTATGCGCGATCTATTTATAGTAGATCGGGATGACGACGGGCAGCTGAGAATCACAACGCAACCGCGCACGGGATTGATTCACTATACGAGGTGAAAACAAGAAAGATGGCGGAGGTGAACAAGCCTCTGTACGAGCCTAATGGGGCAGCGCCTCGTCTCATGTCGTTCGATGACATCCTCAGTCACGTAGGAGATCTCAACCGCTGGCAGCTAATGATTTTCCTGCTCTTCTCGCTCGTTGTCATAGCCACCAGCTTTCAGAACATGGTGATCGTATTCGTCGGAGCGATCCCTGAGCATTGGTGCGCCGTGCCGGAGCTGGCGGCACTACCCTACGACGTGCAGAAAAACCTGAGCATACCGTATGAGATATCAGATGAAGGAGTGTTGAAATGGTCGGCCTGTGAGGTATACTCTGAGCGGAATTACACGGAGACAGCTCTTCTCTATGCCAGTGGAGGCCTCGACAGTCCGTTGCCTTTCCTTTTCACCGACGGCAACCAGACCTCGTGCGAGAATGGTTGGGTTTACGATCAGAGAGAAGGGGCCTCGACATTTGCCAGCGAGGTATGTATGAGGCACTACTCACGTAATATAGTTCTCACCTTGTGAGACGGCTCGGCGACAATCGAACTTACTCGGATGAAACTCTAGCTATATATACCTGTAATTAATCAGCACACACCTCTAGCCATTCTCGAGGCAGCCTCGACTTTTGCAGCTGACGTAAGTATCGGATACAGCTCACTTTGGATCACGTAGTACACTGTTTACTTGAGAAATCACTGAAAATTAAAAACTGCCGGGCATTTAGGAAATCGAAGACCGTGCCCGGCTGCCGGGCATATAGCCACTTCGTAAAAAATACTTTGTACACACCTGTAATCACACGGGGGCACAGCACGTGCCCCGCATCTTCTACTAGCAGTTTTACCGACAAGAAAGACAAACAAAGAAGAAACATTTGTAGGCTTTTTTTCCCGATTCGCTGCAGCATTTCTGTGCCTGCTATGCATACATATACAACTAAAAAGGCACAAATTTTGAATGAATTAATTTTAGCAGATTTTATGTTGACGGCACAAGTTCGTGGGACGACATCTCCAACTCACTCTGAACTTTACATGTAAAGTAAATTTACAAAGAGTTATTCCCACATATCCTGATTTTTTTGCAGTGGGACGTGGTCTGTGACAAAAGCTGGCTAGCGTCCGCCACTGGCCAAAGTCTCTACATGTTGGGTTTTCTGATCGGATGCATCGTGTTCGGGGAGATATCAGACAGGTACGTGGCCAGCTAGGATACAGCCAGCCAATAATACATATAAGTAATGTTTTATGTGACATAAAAATTCATGTACCAGGTTCCGCACTTGTTTATCATATTGAAGTTCATACTCTTTGAAGCTCGCATTCTAATCTACCTTAATTTTCACCCTTTACCAATAAATATTTGGCTTCTGCACTGTATCTGACTCCACTTGTTTGATCAACCCGGGTGTACAGTATGGCGGCGATCTCCCACATCTAGAGCATCATTTACAGGAAAGGCAGGAAGAAGACCTTTTTACTGACGGTAGTGATACTGGGTACTGCCTGCACGGCTAGCGCATTTGCTCCCGTCTATCCACTGTACATCGTGCTCCGGGTCATCACTGGCGCTTCCGTGGCTGGCTTCTACAATAGTGCCTACTGCTATCGTGAGTATTCATCGCCATGTCAAAGTTGAAAGTGTGTTATGAGGAGCACCGTATATATATATATATATGTGTGTGTGTGTGTGTGTGTGTGTGTGTGTGTGTATAATCCACAATAAATGGCTTCGAATGGCTTCGAAAGGTTTCGACTTCCGTCTTCGTATACAGGTTGCGGAAAACAATTCTACCGATCCCAAAATTTGGACTTCTTCGTCCATGAAAATCTTCAGCCTCGGTTTAGTTCAGTTCAGTTTCGCCTCGGTGATGCTCGTTACTTGGCAGTGTCCGGCTGATATTTGGATCAGCGCTGTATTATTTTTGTGACGATGAATTAAAACTATGCAATGTAACATGATGCACCAATCCTTGTGATTACTTCGTTTTATTATAAAACTCAGCGTCACACACACACTTTTATTGTGATTGATCATGTCTCGTAACCAGTTTTTTCTGCTGACCTACATTCGTGCAATCGTCGCGCCGCGTGTAGATAGCGTTTTTACGAAAGCCCAGAAGGCTCATGCGAAATGCGAGATGCGAAATGCGAGATGCGAAATGCGAAATGCGAGATGCGAGATGCGAGATGCGACTTTATGTACAGCGAATCAGCACTTAGCTTTCATCATGTTTACAATGTGACCAATGAAATACCGTTTGACATTCAATGCTTGGGTCGTCGAGGGAAATGGCCACCCTGTCTTTTTACGTATATATATATTGAATTCCTCATTCGTATAAACCAGGTAAGGTTCTTATTTTAAGATTACCAGCTATAGCGGGCATACAAGACTGCGCATGTGTTACCTACACTTCCCATGCGACTAAAACCTTAAGGTCAAGACGCACTGCAGCGACAGCGACCGTGTCGGACCGACCGTAACGACAAAACTCAAAAGTCGCGGCGACTTGCGCAAACACACTGCAGCGACAGCGACCGACGATAGGTCAAAGTTCACCCAGCACTCGCCACAGTGGCACACATCATCCATGAACAAACGGCAAAAACTCCTGCTGCTGCTGCTTTTAAATAACAGGTTGCAAAAACTCTCTAGGTATAAGGATAATTAAGATAATAATTAATATTAATAAAGTAAAATATACACAGCAAATTAATAATTATCATACGTACGTAGGCCCCTCCCTATACTCACGCTCAACGGGTCGTTGTCGCATCAGGTACTACAGATATGTACCCGAGGTACATATATATGTATACACAAAGTGTACCAGACTTGTGCTACAGAAGTGTACCCTAACCATAACCCTAACCCTAACTCTAACCCTAAACATATACCTCGTATAAAAATATAAACGTAATACTAAACAACCTAAAACTACCTCGGGTACATATCTGTAGTACCTGATACGAGAACGACCCCATATCTGCCCTACTCACTGGCTGAAGGGGTTGTTGTCGTATCAGGTACTACACTACAGTACATATATCTGTACCCGAGGTACATATATGTATACACAAAGTGTAGCTCATAAAGTCTATGTCCCCCAGGGCAGTGCTTGACACTCGGGCCAGCCGAAGGCTGGCCCAAAAATTTTTTTTTGGGC